GGGGGGCACGGGGGGAACTGGGGATATTGGGTATCGGGGGGCTGTGATGGAAATGGGGGCATTGGGGGCTTTGGGGGAATGTGGGAGAACTGGGTGCACTGGGGTACTGGGGGAAATGGGGGCAATGCGGTATTGGGGGAAATGGGGGTATTATGGGGTGATGGGGAGAATGGGGAAACTGGCGGCACCGGAGGGAAAGGGGATTCTGGGGGCACTGGGGGCACTGGGAGCAACGGAGGCTCTGGGGGAAGGGGGACATTGGGGGCACGAGGGGGGCAATGGGGTTATTGGGGGCAATGGGGGATGGGGGGGTAACGGGGGCATTGGGAGAACAGGGGAATGTTGCTGTGTGACGCGGTGCCGTGGTGCCGTGGTGCTGTGTGGGTGCTGGGGGCTGTGGTGGCGCGGTAATGTGGTGCCATGGTGACACGGGGATGTGGTGCCTTGGTGCCACGGTGACTGAAATGGTGTCACACTGTCATGGTGCCGTGGTGATGTGGTGCTATGATGCCATGATGCCATGGTGCTGTTATGGCGCCATGGTGCCACGCTGTTATGGTGCCATGCTGTTGTGGCACCATGGTGCCATGCTGTTGTGGTGCCATGCTGTTGTGGTGCCATGCTGTTGTGGTGCCATGCTGTTGTGGTGCCGCGGTGCCATGCTGTTGTGGTGCCACGCTGTTGTGGTGCCGCGGTGCCACGCAGGCTGCTGCCCAGGAACGCGTGCTCGTGTGAGGCAGAGCCGGGGCTGCCGCTGCCGCTGTTCGGGCAGAGCCACAGCGTGGATTTCGGCAGCGCCTTCAGCCCCGAGGAGCTGCCCCAGCTGCAGCGGCTGCGCGAGAGAGAATACCGGCGGCACCGGCTGCGGTGAGCCGCACTGCGGGCGGCTGCGGGCCTTATGGGGCTGGGCGGGACCCCGAGGGCCATATGGGGCTGGGGGGTGCCCAGGGGGCCATATGGGGTTGAATGGGACCCCGAGGGCCATATAGGGCTGGGTGGGTGCCCAAGGGGCCATATGGGGTTGAATGGGACCCTGAGCACCATACGGGGCTGGGTGGGTGCCCAGGGGGCCATATGGGGCTGGGTGCGGCACATGGGGTCAGTATGACATAGGATTGGACCCAAAGCGCCATATGGGGATAACTGGGACCCCAAGGGCCATATGGCACAAGAGGGGACTCGGGGCCATATGGGACTGGGGTGGGGCACATGGGGTCCTTATGGGGTCAGCTGGGACCCTAGGGGCCATATAGGGCCAAATGAGACCCTGGGGTCATATATAGCTGAATGGGACCTCAGGGGGGCATACTGACCAGAGTGGGACCCTGGGGACCATATGGGGCTGAGTGGGGCACATGGGATCCATATGGGGCTGGGCGGGACCCTGAGCTCCATATAGGGTAGAAAAGGACCCTGAGGTCCGTACGGGGCTGAATGGGACCCTGGGGCCCATATGGGGCTGGGGGGACTTTGGGGGGCTGGGCGGGGCCCTGATGTCATTATAGAGCAGAAGGGAACGATGGTGTCCATACTGGGCGAGATGGACCTGTGGGGTCGGGGGGGGTTTGGGGGAGTGTATGGGGGGGACCCTCCAGCCAACCTGCCCCCCCGACCCCCCATAGGGTGCAATCCCCCGCTGACCGCCTGCTGGTGGTGCGAGCCAACTCCCCCCTGGAATACCCGGCACAGGGGGTGGAGGTGCGGCCGCTGCAGACCGTGCTGGTGCCTGGTGAGGGGGGGCGGGGGGGGCGGGGCTGTGGGGTGAGGGG